CTGCAGCGGGGCCGGCGGACCCGAGAGCGCGCAAAGGTCAGGGGGGGGGTTCCTGCCAAAAGGGAGGGGGAAAGCGGGAAAACTCCCACCACGATCATCATAAAACCCGGGGAGGACGACGAAACCGGGGCAGCAAAGAAAGAGGCCACCGGAGCTCCGCGGCTGAGGGATCCAAAAGCCAATCGGCAGCCGGCTGCGAGAAAGAAAAGCGCCTGGTGGAGACCGGGAGGACGGTCCTCTTCGGTTACCTTGGTGAAGTTGAGTGTTTTTCCCTCTCCGGGGGATGGAAGGAGGAGAAGTCTCTGTCGAAGTCCGCAGACGAGGAGGGAGGGAAAGGAGAACTTGCCGGAAAAAACAAATATGTACATCTGGAAGAGGTGCATCTATAGGGGGATCCTGACCTTCACATGGCATTTCCCCTTGGTGTGAGAGGGACCCCCCTCTCACCGCCAAGCGAAAGCCCCCCCCCAAAAAAAAATTATAAAGGTCTGCCGGTTTGCTCAGGTTAATTTTTCTGGCGCGGAATTTTCCGTCTGCTGCAGCCGCTGCTGCCGCCGCCGCCGCAGCCTGCAAAACAAGTCAAGGAAAGGGATTTGGCCGCAGCCGCAACAGCAGCCGCAGCAAAAGAGCGAAAGCAAGTCTCCCGGGAAGGCAAGGTCTTGCAGGCAGCAGGAGAGGTCCTTTAAGGTCTTCAGCATCTGGAACGGGCCCAGCTGGAAGCGGGGCGGGGGCGGGGGGCTCGCGCCGGGAGGGCGGGGCGGAGCGGCTGCCGACATCGAAGCCGAAGCTGCCCGGGTCAGCCTGAGCCCCCACGCGTTGGCCCCGCTCGAGCGGCGACCGCAACCGGCTGAGCCCGCTTCTCGCCGAAGGCTCTTAGGCGGCCCCCTCAGCAGCGGCGCGGGCGTCCTCCTCGGCGGAGCCAGAGGGCCCCGAAGGAGGGAGAAGGGGAAGGCCGGCTCTCAGCCAGGCGGACCCGAGAGAGAGAGAGACCCGTGGCCGAAGCGGGCCAGGCAACCGCGCCATGGCAAGCCGGGTCCCCTCTTCCCCTCCTCGGCGCAGGAACGCCGCAAGGTCTCTTCTGCAGCTTTGCCCAGCAAGAAACCTCGGAGAGTTGGGGCGGGGGGGAGACGCACCGACGTCACGCCACGCCAGGGCGCGCAGGCTTGCAGTTCGGGTGCTCAGCGGCGCCCTAAAATGTCCCGCAGAAGCATTTCGGTGTAACATTTCTAGCTCGTCATTCCGTTCGGCCCATTAATGAAAAGGCGCTGTGTAGGAATTTCTCCCTCCCCCCGCAACTGATACCCACCACCACCACCAAAGCAATGGTGTGAGGTGCTGCCAAGCTGCTTCCAGCTTTTGGCATTCCTAATAGCGGTTTTCAAGAATGTTTAGAGAGTGGTTTATTGCTGCCGCCCTTCAGGGAGGTTCCGCAGCAATGATTTGAACCCAGATCTCCAAAGTCTTATCTCGTGTCATACATGATCTCATTTTAAAAAGTACAGTAGCTATGGGAAACCTGAATGAAACCTGATAAAATTCAATGATTGCCAGAGATTGTCATCCCCCCCTCCATGAAAGCTTCATATAGAAACACATACATTCTGGGTCTGGGAAAGGAAATCTCCAGACCCCAGGCTTAGCATAGCCCATGGAGGCTCACCATAGGTTTTGGGAGACCCATTCCCAGATCCTGGTTTTTATTGGGGTGGGATTCTTTTCTACATTACACTGTATTTGCTTTCATAACTGGAAGGGCAATTGCATTCTGAGGAATCCCACTGCTGCCTCTAAAGCACATTCTCTCACTGGGGTTTACATGGAGAAAAGGCAAGGATCAATTGAGTGGATGTTTTGGCCAAATCAAAATGGGGAGCTCCACCTGGCCCTTTGACTGGGGATCCAATGACCTCACAGTGCGCAGAGCATGTCAAGGCCATGTGGTCTGTGGAAATCTACAGGGGCGATGAATTTGACTTGATCCATAAAAGAAACATGTTAGGGTAGTGTGGAGGAGGAAATAAGCGGAGTTGAAAGGACAAAAGGTAACCAGCCTTTGCACACTTTCTGCTGCAGGGCTTTACTCTAGAGTAGAAGTATTCAGCATAGCCTGATTTTTTTGTAAGTAAAATTTTGTTGCCCAAGCCTGATCTGTGGCTTGTTGTATTTTCTATGAGTTTGCATTTTAACCTCTGTTCTTTTGCTTTGTTCGTTGGTTCTTTTTAAAAGAAAATAAACAAAATCTTTCCCTGCCTTGGAGTGATTTAGCAATACAGAGGGAAACAGAGGTTCTGAATCCCAAATCCTTACCACTTGGATACCTAATGAATACTTTTTGTGTGTTTTGCTTGTTGATCCTGATCTAAGAGTTTTTTTAATAAAATTGGGGATGGTGGCAGAGAAGAAGAAAAAAGCAAACCTGCTTTGGAAGTTTGGTGGACTCTCCTCTCTAATTTCCTTCTTGAGTTTCCCCCTGCCTGAGGGATAAAGGGCTGAGGATGAAGACGACTCCAGGGCAAAGACTCCAAAGTAACTAGGCTTGTGACAATATGTAATTAAAAATATGATAGAAACCTCAGAACACTGGGGATATATGCAACAATGTCTACTGTCCCATGCTGAGTGCGTAAAATGCAGCAGGATCCACCACTCACACATGTATCATAGGCTGAGGATCTTTTAAAACCAAATAACAGTGTACTGTATAAAGCAAGACAATGTGGCCATTTGTAAAGCCAGGGAACATTCCTGATACTTTTGAAATTAATGACTGTTCATTTTAACATCAGCTAAGCCCTTCTATTTGTTCAGGCTATTGTTGCTCAAGTTCTGTGTTATTACCTGGAGCTGCAGTATATAAGGAAGATACACGTATGTGTTGAATTCTTTGATTACACAAGTAAATACTTAACTAGAAAAGAAATTATGGAGAAATAGCAGGAGCTGTTTTGCCTTGAAGATCAGATACTTTTCCATAAAAGCAAAGACACACCATTACAGTTTCTTAAACACACACTATACAAATTAGCACGAGCAAACAAGGATATCCTTTTTTTAAAAAAAGCTAGTAATTTTTCTTTAAAATTCTCTGTAAAAAAATTCACATTGTATAAATATGTGGTATGAAGAAAGTTGTAATTTCACTGTTAAATGACAGTTACTTCAGTCTCCTTTATCTTGAGTAGAGATGGACACAAATCAGAAAAAATGTGATTCTTTTGATTTGTGTTTCATCAAGGTTGATGAATCACAAATTAGAACTTTTTCCTAACGAATCGATGAATTGATCGTCAATTTGATTTTGATTTTAAAAACCTGCAAGGTGACCCCCCCCCAGCACCTAGAGACACCAAATTGGCTTGGGGAAACCCAATCTTCACCAGACTTGGCGGGATTGTAGAGTCAGTAGATACTGCTCTATGATTTTGTGTCTCTAGATGCCTGGGGGGCCTCTTTGTGGTTGTATAACTCAAGATGTCTGAACCCCAATCTTCACCAAACTTGGAAGGATTGTAGAGCAGTCAAAGAAAGCTTTCCTGCAATGTTGGTGTCTCTAGGTGCCAGGGGGCCTGTTTTATAGCCAAACATATTAAAAAGTAACTAAACATTCATTTATTCATGTTCATTGGGTACTTATTCATACAAATACTAATCTACAAATTAGTGATTCTTGAACAAATTAGGTGATTCATTTTTAAATTTGTCCCCATCTCTAATCTTGACTCATCCAAGAAAACAGGATAAGTCATCAGGGAAGATAAGGATGGATATGCTGCAAATATGTACATTGTCTCTATATTGATGTCGATCACAGAAAACACTATACAGTTGTTATGAGAATTATGCAAATCACCCACCCAATTTTGAGGTCTACACTCTTATAGGGGATGCTTTTCTTAAAAGCTACAGCAGAGCATCTACAGCAGAGCTCTTAATGCACGTAATTGTAAACAGAAGGTGTGTGTCTCTTGTGTTACTAGATGACGCAGATACTCTCAGTGAGGTGGAAGAATTGGTTAGGTAACTGTCATAATTAAATTTATTAAAACAGAGTTATCCAGGTGTTAAAAATGCTGTCTCTGGGCTAGCAACACCACAGAATGAAAAAATGTCACTTGCATTCACACACAGCACATACAGGTCCAAAAGAGAAAGCAGGTGTGAACTGGGGAAGAAAAGGTAGCTTAAAGGCATGGAGAAGCAAAATAGTGAGAGAAAACTTGGAAGAATAGTGATGGTACTTCAGACATTCGGCTAGGCAAGCAGGGCTCCTCAGTATAGGCAGAAAAAAAGTATAGTTGCCTCTAGAGGCATATTTTAGTCATTCAGGTCTGCATTTCTGCAAGGGGCCCCTCTTTAAAGTGTGATGGGTTGCATGCAGGTAAATGTCATTTGCACAATATCAGCTACCCCACTCATTTCACTGCTGAGGCCTGGTTGACATGAGTTGGGCAATGGTCCATGGATTTCCAGATACAGGACTAACAGCCTCCACAACCCTATTGGCCTTGCCAGCTGCATTAGATGGAAGGAAGAATCCAAATAGCTGGAGTTTCCCACCTCTGCTATGGGCAATGGCGTTTCTCTCCATGCCTAGTTTGGTAATTTTCTTATCTGTATCTGGTTTCCATGATCTAGCTCACACAGTGCTTCAAATGAGATTCCCCTATTTGTCTTCTTCATCCTACCTCCAATATAGACAAAGAATAGGCAATTCGTATAATTGTTATGGGCCTGTGTGACCCCTGCAACCTACTACTGGCTCCCCACTCCACTAAAATTTGGAGGAATTTTTTTTTTAAAAAATCAACAAACAAACAGCATCCCGTTATGCCATTAATTACAAAAATCAATGCATTAATAAGCTTCATGTTTGTGTTGCATATCTTAAAATACAAAAGCCTTCCTCAGAGTCCAACCTTTATTGCTAGTTTCCTTTTCAGAAGACCCCAAAAGCTATGAAAAGCAGGAATGCAAAATGCAAAGATGAGAGATTACCTTCCCATTGTCCAGACAGTTCTCTGGTACCCCACTGATTCACCCAATCATGGAAATGAAATAAAGGGAAATTATTTCACTTTTTTTTCCACATCAGAATGCATTTTCTAATACAACAAAATTATTAAACACATAGCCAATATTGCTCAACCAGACTAGATTCAGAGAATCAATGGTCACTTCATGCACTTCTCACTCAATATAAGGTAAAATCCCTTGTTGCAACAACCTTCCTCAGAGTCCAACCTTTATTGCTAGATTCCTTTTCAGAAGACCCAAAAAGCTATGAAAAGCATGAATACAAAATGCAAAGATGAAAGATTAATTTCCAGCCTGTGGGTAATTGTTTTCCTGGTACCCCACTGATTCACCCAATCATGGAAATGAAATAAAGGGAAATTATTTCACTTTTTTTTCCACATCAGAATGCATTTTCTAATA